CAGAGTTACTGCTTTTGCACCAATGAGACATTCCTACAGAAGTCCCAGGAGTAAAATACAGACCTGAGAACATAAGCTAGAGAAAGTAATACAGTGCGCAAACCATTTCTTTACTGAGATAATGCCCTTGTTTGTATTAGGAATGTTTCTGAAAGCTTTTATTTCAACCACCTCAGAGTAACAAACTCTGTATCTCCAAATTTGCCATCAGGGTTAGTTTGGAAATCTCTCTAGAAATATTTGGTACTTGTTCCACCTGCAAAATGGTATATACTCAAAATACCAAATAAAATTGACTTATCTTTGTAGCTGACTAACGCACTTTTAGTATTTTATTTCATTTTTTCCTGGAATAAAAAGGACTGGATGCCCAACTCGATGGAAATTTAAATCAGCTACCATTTTAAATGTTGCCTTTAAAGTTCAGAACAACATGAATCCAGCAAAAGCTTGTATATAAGGAAACTATCCTTTACATACTGTTTGTTAATAGAAAGGGGAACATAACAAAAACAGTGTGTCTTTATTCTGGAGGTAATCAGGTTTTATTTTTTTAATTGTTTAACTTTGACAGAGTAAATGCTTGAAATTCTGTAAGGAAATGTGCTCAGTCTCGTTTGCATTCTGAAACAGAAAATTTTCCTTTAGAATTTATTATCTGAGTGATTCAGTAGTTTGGCACTGGTCACAGAGATTTTCATTGCAACTACTGTTTGATTTTCCATGAAAGAATGTCTGGTGTTTCCAACGCCTGTGTGACAGAAAACTATCCATATTCCAAAAAAATTCTCCTATACTACACAAACTTTTAAGTAGCATCAAAAGTAAAGGCTAAGAATTGACATGTACAGACACCAAGCTATTTCAAGACCTCCATTCATCAAGCAGGTTACTTTCCAGGCAGAGCAGTTTCCTGATCGAGTTCACAGCACAAATATTTTTACGGGAACAACCAAGAGATCAGCATCAAGGTGGGACTGAGCCAGCTGGGGACTCCCTAAGTTGGCATTCCAACACACAGAGCTTTGTATTAATCTACAGCCTAAGGTAGGACAGTGCTAACTTACTTTCCCCTAAGGCAACACAAACATAAAACACAAACTGTAAGAAATCTTTTCACCAGTGGTTTTCAGCAGCATCTGACAAGTCTGACAATCATATGGATGCATGTACATACACACCTGGCTTTACAGCTGCTCTTGTACATGATCTTACAATATGCAAGGTATGAATTGCCATCAGTTTTACAAGTTGCTAATAAATGCTAGAGGTTAAAGATTTTATGACTGCAAAATGAACAGTATATTTTGTCGCAGTTTCTACGTCAGTTGCCAAAAATACACAAAAAAATGTTTGTCTCTATTAACCAATAAATGCTTCTTCATGCATTATCTTAAATAACTACGATTATTTTATATATGTACACGGAAATACTGAAGAATCAAGATAACCCACTGAAGCTGAAGATATTGTTTTGCTATATCAAACTTGTTTAAATGGTGTAGTTCAACTTGACAAAAGCCAGAACTTAACTAAAACCGAAACATGTGACTGCACTGCACATGGACTGGTTGTGAGCATGAAAGGAATATGTCATGTTAATAAAATGTTAAGGGCAGTCTGCAAGAGAGATTTGTGCAGTTGATGTCAGATGCATCATTTTATGTAAACCACATTTATAAACATTGCTAGCAAATGAAAAAGTATTTATTTTGCCTTGCAATAACAAATGTATACAAGATGAGCTTAAAAAAGTGAATGCAATGTAAGCCTTAGATGCACATGGCAGCATATGCTTGCTTGCATATGTGCATACATTAAGAAATGCAAACAGTCACTTTTAATAAAGAAATCAAGACAGCATTTTACTTCACTGATGTTATATGTTACTTAAAACACACCATAAAATTTTTTCACTTGCCTCTTTCACCATAATGAAAGACAGTATTCTGAGCCACTACGTACTTGATGCATTCCTTCTCCTTGCTTCAGAAACTAATCTGCACTATTCATAAAAGCGTACTAGGCGTTTTAAGGCAAGGTAGAATTATAATTTTCAACCAACTCTCTCTCTGGCAGAAAGAGAAATCACTGAAAAGGCCTGAACAAATAGTTTGATCACCTATAGTCTTTCTGTTAAAGTAGTTATTTAAATACTTACTACTTCTTAGGAAAACAAATAGTTGCTTGCACGGAAAAGACCCTCAGACTATTCTCTGTTTAGTAGTATCTCTCTTCAGTAGGATCCCAATGTCAGGAATTAAACAATTGTGGCAGAAGCGTTTTTATATCAGGTTATTTAAAAACAAACAAAAATCACTGTTCATGAAATAGCAAAGTCAAGGACTGTGATGCCTGAGAACCATGTTCTTTAAAAATATTACACTGTCAGGAAGGAACAAGGTCACTTTTTGCTTCAGCATTTCAACTCTTATACTAATAAAAGTAGTTTGCTTTTTTAAACTAACTTCAAGTTCGTCATGATTCTGAAGATCCACTTTCTTATTTAGAGCTTCTGAAATATCAAAGAATTCAAAAAATGAATCATCGTTTTAAGTTGCACAGCTAAATAACACTATTTGGAAACGAGGAAAAAAATTTTCCCCTACCTAAAGATACCTTAATAGGCAAGTTTAAGTGTTAATTTGTAACCTAGAGAGAAACAAAGGGTTTGAATTTAATTAATTTAGATACATGCGAATGAATGTGAGAAAGTTTGCTACTTATGAATAGCTGAGAACAGTTATTTACTGTGCAAGACAAATGCTAATAGTAAGACAAAGTGTTCTTTTAATAGCTTCTTCAACCGTATCACCTCAAATCGACTGTTTTATTACACAGCCAAGAAAGCAACATTTGACTCTACCCTCAAAAGGAAGCAGCTAGATCCTTTAAACGGCTGCTACACACTCTGTGCAACTACACTGCAGTCTTGGCACAAAAATTGAGAGGAACATTGAACCAACTACCTAGCATCAATTCATTAGTTCATATACTGCTACTTGCATTTAGAACTCCACAACTGCCTACTGTGCTGGCTCATGCAATGTCTTTGGGTCCAAAAGTTGAAGTACATTGGAAACAGTAAGCCTGGAAAGCAACTCTGCAGTAGTAGTTAGCTTTTAGTAAATTGGAAATATGTTCCAAGTGTATAAAAGAACATGCTCACAAACTAACTGGGAACAATTTGACTATTTTAGTTTCTAGTATTGCCATTAACAGCCAACATCTAAAGCTCAGAATGTGGTAGTTAAGTGACCAGAAAAGAGGATTTAGAATGCAATTATATTAAGGATCAAAATATTAAACCTATGTCTTAAGATATTAAACAGTGTCATTATAAGAACAGCATTTCAATGGAAGCAATATTTATTTCTATTGTATTGACACAATACATGGTATAAAACACATAGACAATCCATTATGGGAGAAGATGGTCACGTTATTCCAGTTACTACTGAAAAGCTCTGCATGTCAGCCTTAATAAGTAGCATAGATCTGACAAACCTGATATACACAAGAATGTGTTTCTATCAGCAGAGATAGCTAAAAATAGGAAAAATAATGTTAAAAATCCCAAATTGCTGAACAAAATTTCAGGATCAGCTGAAATTGCTACTGATTTAACACTGCACTATTGAAAGGAGAAGGGAAAAAGAGGAATCCAGTACATTCACCTCCCAACCCTCAGGCCCCTCTCTCTCCTCTTAAAGAGCCAAGAAAGCATTGGAGGTTTTTAAACAGCAATTTGACACAAATGTGCTCAAGTAAATCCATCCAAACCAATCCATTCAAAATACAGATGAGTGTTTGCTTAGGAAGCTTTGGCTTCTAAATGCAGGCAACAGAATGCAGTAACATGCAATTTGAGATTTCAGAAAAGTAAGATCATCTCTCAAAATTTGACGTGTGAACGTGATTGCTCTTGAAACTGTAATTTCATCCTCTGGGAAAAAGTGATAGGGAGAATGTTTATCATCATTCACCTATTTACTAAAACTGGAACGCACATGGAAGAACAACGCAGTAGGTAACACAAGCCTTATCTCGTTTAGTATGATGGCACCAAAGTTTTAATTTTTGGAACAATATTTTTTTCTTCCTTAAGCAAATAACAGTAGACAAAATAATGAACCAAATTACATGGAGATTTAAAAAGATATATTCTCTATTTTTCTCTAGCTATTTTACTCTAGCAAGGCCAGACTCCCAACGTAGAAAGGGGCCAACAGGTGAAGTCACAAGTGCATGGACTTGTACAGATACAACGTATTGTAAATCTAGAGACACAGGACGTTATGTTGACTATGAACCTTTCACTTTAAGCAAGCTCAATTAGACATATATTTCTGAAGTAGATACAAATAGGCAGCCTACTCAAGGCAAACAATGCATAGCCCAATTTCTAAACGTAATGTGCATGTCAGTACAAATAACACCACTTGGCTTGAATTCTGATAGACTTGTTCTGAACTTACAACTCATCTTTACCATTGAATATTGCACATTGTCTCTGTTTTACATTGATATGCTTTATTTCTCAAACACAATACAAATTATATTGACCAAGAAAATCTGTTCTATATTTTACACGCTTCCTCTCACCAGACAGTCGTCTACTGAAACAGAGGTTGCATTTACACATACCTACAGAACAAAGTATTGATTTTACAACTTTAGAAGATTTGGCAACTTGCTGATCACTACAGTCTATTGCTTTACTCTGTCACTGGCTATGGTTTTCTATTTTTATTGAAGCTTCACTTTTCAAGGAGCAATGGCCATTGAAATCATTAATAAGAAGTGTGCTGCCCTATGAAGAACTGACTGAAATGGACTTCACCGTACTTTCAATGGCCTGATGTCAACTATTATTAAACTACAGGTTTTACAAAGTCTTCCACTAGACGTCTAGAGTTAAGCCAGAAGTTTTGGCTGTGATACAGGCAGTGATGAAAAACATATGAGTAGTAACAAGTCGCCTTAATATCATTCTTCAGTACTAAGATGGGCTAATCTGTAGCAGCAGTTTACTCGGGTATCACCCAGGGTGCCAGGAGGATCAAGAAGTTTTAAAGTGGAATTTTGCTTTATACCTACTTTCCATTTCACAGCACTCAGCTTAATTTCTTTGTATCTCTTTTTTTATGAAATAAAGTGGACAAAGCCCTCAGGTGGATTATCACAGTGCTTCTGGAAGAACTACTAAACTTGCAAGGTATGTTGTGTTTGAATATCTACTCTATTTAAACAGCAATACAGAATTAAGCAACATGCTGTCCTCACTCTACCATGTCGATTAATAATGGCAGGCAATTTAGAGCTAGAAGTACTAATTTTTTTTTTAATGGAACACTTTAAAAACTACTTCACAACTGAAATAATTCTGTATTTACTACACTTGAGCTCTAAAGCCAAACAAAAAAAAAAAAAGCAAGGGAGCTGTGAGCTATTTAACTATTAAAGGACTTGTTAGATGAAGCTTCTTAACAACCAACACAATAAGCTCTTGTTTCCCAGTTAATTCAATCTATGCAAATTTATCCTTCAATCACAATTGCTCTTACATTTATAGCTTTGTATCATCTTTCTATACTTAAGTACTCAGGAGATTTTTTTAAAGTAGATACCAGCAGAATAACTAGAAATAAAACATGAAAGACTGAATTATAGATAAGCATCTCTAAATCAAAATAACCTAAAAATGTTCATAGATTATGTTCAGTAACACACGAGTCAGTGTTTTCTAAGAAAAGTAAATACTTTCTAAACATATATATATATATTTACAAATATGTTATTCATTATCATACTATGCAACTTGAATATTGCACTATTTCTCAAGACACAATTATTTCTTCTGTCATCTTACTGAGCAAAAAGTTTCCACCTATTTTTCTTAAGCAACCTAAATAAATCAGTAGACAAAGAGTTAAACATAAATCCATTTATTTATGGAATGGGACAATGACTAATAGAACTAGAACTATTTTTAAATATAGCTTTCAAAACAGCTATGGTCTTGCCTTTCTTTGGACAAAATCTGTGCACACTGTAATGATTTGTGTTACTAAGGAACACAGGGATTTTTCTCTGCCTCTGTAAAGACCACCAGTGTGTCATTTTAACATTTCCTTTACAGAAAAAAGGCTGTAGGAAATTTTCCTTTCTATATCACTAACAGAAGCAACTTCTAAACTTAATTCTTAGTTTTCTTAAGTCTTAACAATCTACCTATTAACTCTTTCAGTGTCATAACTTATAAGACAACAAAAACCACATGCTGCAGGATTCTGCTAATGGCATGTAACCACCAGGGAATTCAAACTGGTTTTCAGTGCGTGTAGACATTCCATACTAATGAAATGATTTTTGTCCCCACAAAAGCGTTTTTTCCTTCCTAATTCATGTTTAGAATTTTCCTGTCTACTGAGCACTTCTGTGGGGATTTCCCATTTAATTTTTACTATCTGCAAGTGATTTTAATCACTTTAACATATTGCAATGCCACCTGCATTTAATTAGTTATAAGCCACAAATATTATACTGAATTAGTAACATAAAAAGTTCATATATTCCACATGCCATTTGGCAATCTGACTTTTGGTAAAGATCACCACATTGCTGGATAAACATGTTCTGAACAATAAGCCTAGATCTTAAGATTGTTAGATACAGGAGGAAAGAAAGTCCGCCGTACAGCGTCTCTATATGGAAAGCATATACTCCACATTCAGCCACCCCTCACTTTGAGGGGGGCTAGCGTTCCAGCAGAAAGGTGTTATTCAGAAGTTTTTGTCCTCGAGGAAAAGGAGTACTGCTATGCGTACTTCTTGCACGTGTGATGCAAGAACTACGTGAGTCCTCCCTGACTTCACACCACTCTTTCTCAAACTCATTTTAAATGTTCTGGTCTGTAAAAGTGAGAATGCACAACAGTGGACATTGTCCAAGCAATAATCATCCATCCTGGTTATTATTCAGTAAAACACTTGAGCCGGTCTAACAATTTGCACGTGTCAGAAACGGCTGTCACACTCTTCCTTCCCTCTCATTCCTTTTTACTTTCCTTCCCCCTAAAACAGGCTGCTCCTCCCGCTCCTTTGTGCTGGCTCTGATGCTCAGACTGATTTAGTTTGTTCACCCTGAAAGAACGGGAGTTTTTTGTTCTGACTCATGTTAGTTTTACAATGGTGTAGCGAGTTCAATCAACTCAGTGGGGAGCCTGAGCAAAAGGCTGGGAGCAGAACCAGCCTCATGTGGCAGCAGCTGTAATGCTGAACTGTATTTTCTGAAACAATTATTTAAATAGTTCATAAAATCCTCTTGAAAAATAATTGAAGTATTTCCAGAAAGACCACTAGGATCCTAGGTTTCAGGGTTTGATTTTTTTTTCTTTTAATTCTCTTTATCTAGAAGTTTAAGCACATAAAAAGTTTGTGTAAGTTTTTTGAGATGAACTTCAGAGTCAGAGCATTTCTAGAGACTTATCAACAAGTATTTACTGGGAATCTCAAAATCTCAGCAATAAACAAAACAATAAAAAAGCTCCACAGCTTCCTATGTGGTTCTTTGGCCAATGGAACCCTGGAGTCAAACTTGGTTGCTGCCCCTAACTACAAAGCTGATGAGCAATAAAGATCTCCTAATGATAAAGTGGGAAGATGAAGCAATGGCTTTTTCGCTTTCCTGAAAAAAGAAGTAACGCAAGTATCTGAGTATCACTCAGATTTCCTCTGCATAGGGGCTTTTTTTCGAGAGAGTTAACTCACAAGACTTACAGGCTTAATCAATTGTGCATTACGATCTTGCTTTCATAGAATTGTTTGTACCAAACTCTTTTTCCAAGAGCTGAAATTAGCCACTATTCCAATCAAAGCATCAACCTTCTCATAGTTTGAGATTACGATTTTTTTGGAGTATTTGAAATGAAAAAAGCAATTCATTTGCTACAGGTGCAAGTGTGGAAAAAGGCTTTTAAATGCTTTCATTACACAACTTACTAGCACCAGATCTAGAAGAGCATTTCAGGAACATGCATTTAGGCACTGGGAAACTATACACCCACAGGAACTTAAAAATTAGATGTCCCCGGATATGAAATATGCTACAAAACTTGATTTCCTACATGTATAAATTGCACAAAAAACATTACTTTGAGCAAAGCACAGAACTTTCTGTCACTTTAATTCATAAGCTGCAAGAGGAAAAAAGACCAGCCAAACAGCCTCTCTCTGAGCAAAAGCACTTGGCCAAGACCAAGGAGAACTCAGAAATCTGAAGTGCTTCAAATTCATCATCTCCTGACTAGCGGTGTGACTAAAGTACTGGACCTTTCAACTATTTTGCTGAAGGTGAAATACAAGCTTGATAGGGCCAAAGATTCAAAAGGCTGACAGGCAGACATGATTGCAATTCACTACAAACAAACCACTGTAGGTTCCATGTGTTGTTCTCAGCACTGTTTATATTCAAAAAAAAACTTTCAGGCAAAACTCATAAGCAGTCTCTGGGGTTGAACTTTGCTCCCCTCTTCCTATTCTATCTATTTATTCCAGTGAAACTTTCTTTCTCTGCCACTTGCTGATCTAGCTTCTGTAAAGAGATTAAGAGCATTTCTCTATCACTTTGCCGATCACGACACTATCCTACCAGTCCTGAAAAACGGAGGACCCTTTTAAACCATTATTAAGAGGAGGTGAGCAGCATCACTGTCTCTTCCAGATATCTCGTAAAAGGTAAAAGTGCACTTTAGTAAGGTATTTAAATTACAGATTATCAAAAAGAAAATCAAACATACTGTCTAGGTTTCCAGGTAGTCTCTAACATTTTTGCTAGAAGCATCATAACAGAACGCTACTTTGAACACAAAAGAAAATGTGTGTGAAGCTTCTTTAAGAACTTTGAATAAGCTAAGCCAACACCCCTATATATATCAGTGCATTTATTTTCCTGTGATTAAGGACCTATGGCAAAATGCCTACATCATGAGATTTTTCAGCTATAAACAGAACAGCAAGTACTTAATTAGGTGATCAAACAAGAATCGACATCCGTTTAGTATTTCCCTAAAAAAGTCTACGATAGTCTAAACAGAAGCATCTTATAAACAGGATATGCATAACAACAAGATACAAAGTGCTTCCTGAATTGGACTTGGGATGGAAACAGTGTAGAGTTGAGGGTTGAATTCTTTAAGTTTTTTTTTTAAATGAGAGCTGACATGTGAAGCACTTTAGTCACCCTCTGTAATGATATTGCCAAAGTCTTGCCCAAAGAGAAGTCTTAAATGACCAATAAATTCATCAATTTCTATTGGCTAACAGTTGATTAGTTCTCACTATAATGAATTTTTTTTTACATACTGAGTGAAAGCAACTGAAAATATTCAGATATGCCCAGCTAATGATCCATTTCAGGGTTACACAAATTATTTCTTTTATAAAAAGTATTCCAAAATCACCTATTAAAGAGCAATAGCTAGGATTTCCAATAAGTAACAAGCCATTCTGATCACATACTCCGTAAATCTTCTCCAGCAGAATTCCTGTGAGCCTAACAGAATGTTTCTTGATTTCTAATACCTACTTTGTTTATATCATTTCTTACATATTCTAGAGAAATTTCAAACCTAAACGTCACATATGGAAACACATCTACATGTATTAATAAAACTTAAAGATACTTTTTGTAACCTGGAGGTGACAATGCACTGCTGTCTTCAGGAAATAGCACCAGCTTTCCTGAGGCATGAAGTCTAAGTGATGATCATGAAATCACACTGACAACTACGTTCCCATTTATCATTTATACACAAAGTAAAAGAAATCTTTGGGAAAAAAAAAAAGTACAGTCCTCAAATTCCAACCCATACCATTAAGATTTCCAGTAGAAAGACAGAATTTAAACCATAGTAGCTTCAGTGTTAGTGCACTTCTTCAGAAATTGAAAGAAGCAGTTATTCATACTTAATATCTTATCTCCCTTTAGTGTTCCATGTTCTATTAATAATGTTTTAGATGCTTGTTTTTAGAATATGAATTCAATATTTACAGGATTTCCTCATATAGAGTTGTAAAATATTGTTGCAGAAATTCTTATCCCTATTTTACTTTGTGTCCAGTTTCATGGGACTGTTTGGTCAATCAACTCAATCAATTTAGAATATAAACAGAGTAGGTAGAAAATATCCAAGGGTTTTGAACTACGGATCATCATTACCCAGGAAACACAATATACTCTCATTTAGAACTGGATAATTTAGATTCACGATTTTCCCAGTCAGGTATAACTAAGAGAATTCTGGTAAAATTTGAACTCAGAGAAGCAGAATGAAATTGAAAAAATAGCTGCAGTGAGGCTGTATTTTTCTAAAGACAAATCTACTTTTGATGATCTTGGTAACTTGTGTATTCTTCTCAGTTATATCAGATAAAAATCACAACACCTATCTGACTTGAATTCATCTGCTCTGTAGATGCCCTAACTGATCCAATGTCGTTCTGTCTTCCAGACTGAAGGACACCGGATTACTGAAGAAAGATACTTTCAGGTTACAGGCAATCTAGACAGCTAATAGCTTTTAGAGCATTAAATTCAAGCACAGCCCCTTTGGGCTAGATGCCTAGCAATCACATACAGACCTCAGGACAACAAAACTAAGTTAAAAAAAAAAAGTTTATTGAAAAAATATTCACATAAAAGTATTGACTTGCAGTTCATTTCTGGAGTTTCATTCAGCTACTGATTTTAAATGATGTGGATCCATACCTTGCAAACCCTTGTCAGAGAAAAGAGCCCTGGTCAAATGCAAGTGAATACAAATGTGCTTGTATTAAAATGCAAAGGGGACTTTTTATCATCAGGAAAATATGAATGCCTGGAACATGGGAAAAGCTGTTGCTGTGACTGAAAACTCAATCTGTTTTCCAAATTAGAATAAGGATTGTTTTGGGAATGTCCTGATGAATGCATTTTATGTATTGTTAACTAAATAGTCCCCCTTTTTCTTAAAATGAATTAAATTTCAAATTCTTGTAAAACCTGCTACAAAGATCACACTCTATTAAAGCCTTGATCCAATTGTACTTTGCTTCAAAGCCCCAAGTAAACGATGATACTATTTTTTTAAACTCAGCTAAAAACCCTACTTTGATATGCCATCAATATCTAATAAATTTCACTTAAAGAATATTTTTATTCTTCTTCACCCTTAATACATTTCTTAATCCTTAATATTCACAACAGACCATGTTCAGGGCCACAGAGCGCAGAGTGCAGTGTAGCAATGAGTGAATTAAGTAGTACAATGTGTTTATGGGCTCTTTTACATTCACTAATTCTTGGGTTTTGTTTGTTTGTTTGTTTGTTTTTTAACACTTTTTCTTCAAGACTGGTTATCCTGACTGAGAAGACATGAAAGAATATGTGCTCCTTCTTTTCTTGGCTTTGTGCTCTGCTAAACCTCTCACTGGTCCTTCATATTTTACACTAAAGAACGTGATGCTCCAAGATATGGAGGAGGAGGAGGAAGAGGATGACGATAATTCTCTGTTTCCAACCACAGAACCAATTATACCACTAATTCCTTTTGATCTATTCCCAATATGCCCCTTTGGATGCCAGTGCTACGTGAGAGTTGTTCACTGCTCTGATCTGGGTAAGAATGAATTTGTGCGTCTGTTTTCCACTGGATTATTCTTCAGAAGATTTTCCTTTTGAAAGATAAATTCTACAGTTCCATAAATTACACACACACTATGGCTATACTACTCATTTTCAAAAGTAGCTTACATTGCTTCAATCAGGCTGGCAAACAATATCAAACATTAAGCTGTGTCTGGCATTTGGTACAATATAAAAGCTTTCTCAATTTATGTACATCAGTTTAAAAAAAAAAGAATAAGCTGTTACAGCCTCCTTACATAAGGAATGACTTATATTTATAACAATACAGATTGGGATGGTATTTAGGATATGTAAAAAATAACTGTAAAACAATCTATTTAACTTAATACTGCTCTAGGTGAATAACCACATATAATCTGCATAGCTTTCTATCCACTAAAAGAACAATCGTAAAATGGCACATACTTATATTCATGTTTTAGATAGATAATACTTTATGCTGTTCCCTTTACTTCCATGAAGTTATGTCCAAACAGATGACAACCAAAATTTGCTGCATCTCCTGTTTGCATTAGCCAAGCTATTAGTTCCTTATCTCAAAAAATACTATGACTAAAGTAGTACTTCATCCACAACTACAAAGCAGCAGATCAAATGACAAGAAAGGACAACAAAGAAAAAAGAGGCCATAAACAAACTACTATGAAGTTATAATGCAAGAGCACAGAAGGGAAACAAACTATTTGCTCAGCTTAACTTCTGTTACAACTGCACATGGCTCCCATAACATTTTAAGCAAAGGCAAATCCGCTGATGTTATCAGCCATCCCTAATGATCAAAATCCCTTAATATTTATTGCTGTAGCTCCAACTTGAATAAATGTTCATTAGTTTTTCTGTGATTCAAGGTAGTTGATGGATAATTCTCCTGTCACTAGCACAGATTTAGCATGCTTATCCACATACTCTATTTCAGCACCTATGACATTTGTTGTAATCACAGCTCGGACACCATTCCTAAATTTAGTCCCAGGCTCTTCTTCCCATGTCTTAGAAACACTGAGTCAGTGTGCAAAAGACCATTTATGATATTTATGCCTCAGCCTTCCAGCTTCTGTCTTACACTAATCAAGATGCTTTCACCTGCCACTGTGTCTGCAGCTGAACTCTCTTGCTTCCCTTCTTTCGTTAATCTTTGTTCTTGGATAGGATGATGTTGATAGCACTGGACTCCTCCTGTTTCTTTAACTCTCCTCCCACCCCTTATTTGAACAGCACTGTGTTAAGTTATTCTTTCCTCTCCTTTCCTGTGTTACTACCACTTACCAGCCACTCAACTCCTCAAATAGACCTCCTTAAGACTTTCTTAATCCAACTCCTGACTCTCCTCCTGCTCATCTTCACCCAATCCTCTTCTATATTAATGTCTTACTCAATATTATTACGTACTTCCTTCAGTTCCTCCCCACTTTCAACTCTCCCACACAAAAGCAAGCATTCACTGGATTCACAGCTTTGATACATGAAAAAGTCACTGAACAACAAGAAGTTACTGTTACCTGCTAGGTTAATAGCTGCCAGTGTGTTTCTTATGCCACAGAACACCGTGGTATATATGCCAGTTCTCTAGAACTGACACTGAAAAAAAAAAAAATCATTATTTCTGCTCAAGAATTTTAACATACGAGTGACACAAACATTAACACAGAAATTAAAAATACAATATGGTTTCAAGGACTGTATTTCAAATAGAATACAGGATAGAAACCCTTAAGTATTATCAATACTAAATAATTTGCACAAAGAACTATATATACCACATATTTTTTCAAAAACAAAGTAGAAGTCCTTCATCAGAGTAAAGAAGAAATTAAAATATTTGCTGTTTGCTAAGACTAAGAACTACATGGCCAATAGCTTTCTATCAGGATATTTCCCACAGGTAGACAAATTTCAAAGCTAGTGTTGGTTTGTTTGTTTGTTTGTTTTTTTAAGTGCTGTCAAAACATGACAAAAAATTGACATGTCAGTTGGTAACTCAAAATAATTTTTAAAAGTAAACTTCCATTTAAAAAAAAGTTTCATAATTAGGAAATAAAATAAATTTCTTTTACAGACAATCAGCTGTGGGGTTTTTATCTGGTTTACAGATTGCAAGCTGGTTTACCTAAGTTTACACATGGAAAAAATCTATTAATAGACTTTAAATAACTGTAACTTATTAACTATGAAATTATTGTTAACAAAGTGAGATCACCATTGGATATATACTTAGATCAGCACTTCTACGGAAAAGCAAGTTACTCTCCCCCATTAGTGTCTTCTGCTGATTCAGAACCGTAGCCTGTATGAATTGAAGTGTTTCTGCAACCAAAGCAGTGAATTGGACTGGAGAGCTTATACAAATGAAAATTAAGTTCTGGCAGCTGGAGGATCATATTTTGAACATTTCTACTGAGAACACATTTCTCAACTGAGAACACTTTTCTCACATTTCTCTGTATGGCTATATAAGCAGCTATGCCAGCACAATAGATAGGGCAGTGCCGAAGTAGAAAGGAGCATCCAAACACTGAGCAGAGATCAGTTACTGAAGCTGCACTGTTCCTAAATACCAAACCACAACCTCCGATTCTCTGAGGACTGCTGTCTACAGCGGCTCAACCAGTATCTGGTTCAAACTATGCTCTGAGGCTGCTTATTTTGCAGACGCAAGGAGTGGGTAATGGGCATACCCATCAAGCTTTTCACAGTCTGCAGGAGTAGAAGCAGTCCTGAAATTATCCACTCACTTTTGTCATACATTCTGACTTAATTAGGTCCTTTCATTATCAAAAGTATTCTCTTTTGATATTTATTTTATGGCTGTTTGTCCTTTCTTTCCCATCATAGTCATCAATAATCTCATTGTGTTTTTCTGTTTAGCAGACAATTTCTTTGGACATGCATACAAATAGGTAAAGTTTCTCTTTTATCTCACGCACTTAAACAGGTCTGACATCAATACCCCGTAACATTCCACCAGATACTCGCATGATCGACCTTCAAAACAACAAAATTAGAGAGGTCAAGGAAAATGATCTCCAAGGACTCACATCACTTTATGTAAGCTTGTTATTTTCTGACTTTTAAATCTTATTTAGCAATCTGAAATATTCCAATACTTTTAAAATATAAATGGTATTTTTACTCTCCAAGAGTATGTATATGCCTGCATATTTGGCTGCTCACATACCATGAGAAGCAAGTTTCTTTGAGCACTTTGAGAACTTTTCTTTTGAGTTTCTTTGAGAACTATAATATTTTCTACGACACCCAGAAAAGGTACCACATACACCACTTAAAAAGTTCCCCAAGATTTATTCAATCTTAAGCACGCAGAAAAACACTTCTTGTATTTTAAAGGCTGCAAGGTAAGTCCTCCTTGTTGCCCACCCAGCTCCCAGACGCACAAAATTGTAATCGTTTGCAGAACTTAAGCTCACAGGAGAACTAGATATATCTGCAGAGGGGTATTTTCAAAAGTACACAGCATATAACTAACACACGTACTACTGAAAGTAGAGACAGAAATCTAGTTGACCTGAACAGAAAACAGACCAATACTCAATTCCTGAAGACATCACGTGTTTTACTACTATTTTTAACATGCTCAAACATGCACGTTAAGATAGACTTTAAAATAACTACCGCTGGCACCTGGTAAAGAAAGAGATTAACAGTTTATATAATGCCTTCTTATAATGAAAGAAACCAAAATAATCTGAGACACCTGGAAGGGCAGATCATGCTTCAGAATGCATAGGTCCACAAGATGTCGCTCTAGATCCAGCCCTGACGAGGACTGAATTGCTTGTAAAAACGACAAATCCATCCCACAAGTTATAACAAATTAGAGACATCCTACTCCACATTAAAAAGTCAAGAGGGATGCATTAAACCAGTGTAAACCAAATCTTTTTTTTAGCCGTATTTGGCTTCTGAGTAAGAGCTCATTTACATTTACCAGATCTAGGCAAGGTGTTTTTGAATGAGCTTTTTAATTATTAGAGGTTAATCTAGGATAGAAAACATAGGAACAATACAATTCCATTGTCTGCAACAATATGTTTGCAATTCCAGCTGAATATCTCTTGTATGGGCTCAGAATACTCTAACCAGTACATTAAGGGTAAACACACTATGTGCAGTTTATTTTCAGTAGATAATCTCTTACAGATACTAACCTCCAACGATAAAGAATGACAGAGGAACACATCAGGAATCACTGTGTTATACATGAGAGTCACCTTTTAACTATCTGACAACTGAAAACTCTGAGCTGTTTTGATTTTCCTCATCAGTTAATTTGTGATCATGTAGCAAGAGCTAACGGGATTTTTACTGAAAGCAAAGTTTACTTTGTACATTTTATCTGAGTAGCAGCTTTCTTAGCAAAGCCACAGATGGCAACTTGGATTCGGAAGGAGAATTTCCTGTTTATTTCCTTAAGCCATGCCCTTTTTTGCTGGGAAAAAGATTAATTCTGTTTTGCTCTGTTTTTTCCACAGTCCCTGTGAGCAGATGATTTACCTCTAGCAACAGCTCAGAGAAGTAAAAAAGGAATAAAAATGAATAATCTAGATAGGGAAATGCAGAGATGTGATCTGACACGCAAAATAATTTCAAATAATTCATGATTTGCTGTCTGTACTTATACAAGTTATCTGATAACGCGCTATCATTTTACATAGAAGTACGTAGTAACCAAGAACAAGAAAATGTCCAAAAAGGTACAGAATAATCAGGAGAGATGCTTAAATCCACAAGAGTTGAAAATTACAGCAAAAAAGATATTAATTGATGTGCATATACCACTGGCATACAGACATTAACATTTAAGAAATTCAGATGAAAAACATGGCTTTTATTTTGCAGCACAATCCTGAAAGAAATTTTGAGTTTTGAGCATTTGTTTGCAGTAAGGAACCAAAAAAAAAAAAAAAAACCAATCCTCACAGAACCCACAAATCATATAAAGACAAACATTTTGTTTTATCAGTTCATTGGCACCTTGTTAGCTCTGACAGAACTTTTTCTTTACTTTCCAGTTAATACTCCACGTTTTATTCATTTATTTGTTTGTGCATTAAGTGAAATGCACAAAATATGTACAAAGTTTATTCTAGCCAAAAAAAAAAACAAACACGTATCACTCCATGTAGATGTTAGTGAATAAGCTCCTGTATCAAAGTTTGGTATATTAGAAAAATATAAAATATTACTTTAATAATTATTAAATTATATACCAAATTCCTCACTTAAAATGCATAATCACAAAATTTCCATATAGATATATGTTCTTTGAATTACTTTTCCCATTTCCCATAGGCACTGGCTTTGAACAACAACAAAATAACCAAGATCCATCCAAAAGCCTTCCAGCCAACAAAGAAGTTACGACGACTGTATTTGTCTCATAATCAGCTAACTGAAATCCCAGTAAATCTACCAATATCTTTAGCAGAGCTCAGAATTCATGCTAATAAGGTTAAGAAAATCCACAAGGAAGCTTTTAAAGGAATGAAGTCTTTACATGTTTTGGGTAAGTCCAGATACAAAGTAAATGTTTATATTGAAAATTCAGTATACTTCATTTATTTTTCATTCAAACATTTCCCCAGTGTGGAATTTCCTCTGAAGGAGATATCTGTGCTGTGGAAATTCTCTTTCATAATTCCATTGTGAAATAGGTCAGGTATCTGGTAACCCTGCAAGCCAAGTTCTACAATCTTTATTCACTGAAAGCTGACGCTTCCATCCTCAAGAACAGATAATCAAAGCTAATTACTAGCATTCCCAACATATAAAATTCCAGTTGTCACTCTTCTTTCTGTTGAGGTGATTCGATACATGTCTAGTCAGCTTTTCCAGACAGACCTGGGTAGGGTGTAGATATGTTATATATAATAAGAAATACCCAGAGATTGCACAACTCCAAAATATTCATCTTGGAATATAATCAGTGAAGTTAAATAAACATTAATTCTTAAGATACTAGAAGCCATAATTATGAATAAAATAAAACCAGTTATTTATAACCAAGTATAACATATACAAAATTCCAGCTCCATAAGTACTTTTTTTTTCTTGGACAGAAATGAGTGCAAATCCTCTAAACAATGATGGAATAGAGCCAGGAGCTTTTGAAGGAGTAAATATCTATCATATAAGAATTGCAGAAGCTAAATTAACTTCAGTTCCTAAAGGTATGTTTTGTTTTATATTTTTTTATATATCTTATCCATACCCTTATACTCCTAAATAAAATTCTTCAACATATATTATGTTTATTAAAATTTTCCTAAGTACTTTCTTCTAAACTTATTTTACTGTTCATTCCCTCCAAAGCATCTAACTCATTTTCCCTACCTTATTTTTTCTTTATGCCACTAGTAACCAATTTTAAAACCCATCAGAAGCGTGCATGTGCATGCACGCACACACGCATTCTCCATCTCTCTTTACGCATCTAAAGCCTAACGTTTCTCACTTTAATAAGTTTCAAGCTACTTGAAGCTCAAACATGCTCTGCAGTAAAATCAATTCAATGGTAATCCAATATGAAACACAGAAGCAATGACTCAATGTTTTATACACCTTTCGATGGAGTTTTGCTAAGTGAAAATATCAATAATTTAATTATATCCAAGTAACATACTATAACTAAATCACTGCTTCATACAGAACAATTAACTTGTTGAGTTGGAGCTGTAATAAACTAAAATATTAGCTTTACAAATGATCGACTTCCACTCAAGAAAAAGAAATTTAAAAAAAACATGAAGGAACTCAGTACAACACTCCACTTGCATTTTTCTGTAAGTCAGCATATCATTGAACCGAATACGATTTGCAATATCCCAACTGCTCAAAACAACTAGCTAATAGAAAAGGGAGGAAAAAAAGCACAGTACCATATACTGTATCATTCTTTAACTTACAGAGAGAATATATGTTAGACCCTAAGATTTTTATTACTGCCTCATTCGGATTAATTTAATCCCTTCTTCTAGGAAGATGAGATACACAAATGTATCTTTGTAGGAGAACAATAAAAAAAAAAAGCCAACCAAACAAAACATCCTAATTCTTAAGATATGGTAAATTCAGGATCAGAAACTACCCAGCTGCTAATGGTAGTTAGTACTTCTCAACACACAAAAAAGATATTCTTGTACTACTGTCGTAACACACAAAAAAGATATTCTTGTACTACTGTCGTAACACCAGTTCCTGTGACTCTCCGCAACACACACACACACATGTAAAGTGGTTCAGATTTAATCTTATGAAGAATTATCCAATCAGGAAATAAAGCACAAGTTCCAACATCTGGGGACAAATACTACGCATACTAGATAACTGAATTCACGGTGAACACATTGTACATAAATAGAGATTAACAATAAAAGGATCCTTGTAACTATTATATTAGCATTAAGAGATTTTTTTAAATTATAAAACGCACTTTAAATCTAAAATGGACAGATAGAGAGTCTGCTCTCTTAATACTGCAACTCAGACATAAGCAACACCCTCAGGAATTGTAAACTGGAAAAAAAAACCCATGATGTCAACTGACATAAAGAAATTCCAAAGGATTCCAAAAGCTATCTGCCAGAACAGGTGTTAAAAGCTGGAATAGCAACACTGTTACATCCTTTGGAAGAAAACAAGTATCTACAGGCATCTATCACAGGTTCCACAGAAGTATGATTTTTGACTGTCTACTGCTGAAGAACTGCATATAACATCCAGTTAACCAAAAGTGTGTGAAAGCCATTACAGAGAAAGTTAGAAAAGTTATATACAGTTTCTGGACTCTGAAATCCATTTGGACTCTTATTTTCTCAACATCACCATAAGCACTTTCACATTCTTATTTTCCAATTGTCGATGGTTAGCTTTAGAAAACCGTATATAAAAATTGACACTTGCCTGTCATCCTGTTTTGTTCTATTTCTGTCGAGAGACCCTCTGCAGAATATTGGAACATGCAATATATTAGGCTATGGAAAGGTCAGGTATTAATATTATTCCTCCTTGGCCATTCTTCTTTTTAAGCCTTAGTAGTCAAATTGCCAAATCACAGAAACACCACACGAAATGCTGCTTGCCTTTTGACATTCACCCAATGGGAGCTTGGTTCTTATGTTAGATAACTCCTCTTACACACTAAAAAAAACTCGACACCTTGTCAACCATGATTATCCACACACTAAAACTCTGAAAAACCGTACCGTACTCTCAGCCTTGAATTTTCCAAGAAGAAAAATCAGTGATCAAACTAACAGGAAAATTTTTACCATCTCTGAACCTGCTTCTATCACTTTTACAGTAGGCATCATAATTCACACAGAATGTCAGGAAAAATATTATTAATATGATTACAGAAGAACAGCTAATACAAAACAGCTAGAACATGCAAGGAAAAAGAGTTTAGCTGTAAAACAATAGCATAAGAAAACAACTTTTGTGAAATTAGGTAAAAAAACTAAAACGAGCAAAAATAAGGATTTCTTTCTACAGCACACAAAAGAACAACTAGCATTAACCTACATTTCTTATCATATAGAAAATTCACCATGGTACATAATGCCTTTGGAAAAGGAAAGTTATTCTTTTAAATCAAATGACGCTGCTGAGAACTAAAAAAAAAAGTAATATACTTGTATGTAATATCCATTTATTTCGTGAAGACAATCCCTCAAGATTTTTCACCCAATCCTAAACACAAAGGAAATAAGTTGTTGGGAATATTCCAGCAAAAACATATTTTAAAAGTTGGTTTAATTTTTCTCATTGTGTATTTGTTTTACAACAGAACTACCCTCCAGTCTACTAGAACTTCATTTAGATGACAATAAGATCACAGCAATCGAACTTGAGGATTTTAACCGGTATAAAGATCTTCAAAGGTAACAACTACTATGCAGAATGTTTCCTATGAGACTATTTGCTTGGAAAAGGTCAGGAGAAAAAGGAAGTAGAAAGTTTTTAAAGGAAATCACTGTAAATAAAAAGAACAAACTTTAAAAAAAAATACCGAGTACACAACATTAGCTTTGTTACTACATATCTTACCTACAACTTCAATAGAAGCATATTTAAAAACAGCACCTGATTACAAAATGTAATCATCAAATTACTACCACATGGTGTCCTAGTGATGTGTAATGTATTTTTTTTATATAATATCTCCTAATATGCTAGTAAAAATATGCCACTAACAAGCACTGCATGCATTTCACATGCTTAAAATATATGAGCCTTAAAATACATTTGTGGTCACATTATCAAAAGTATTTAATATTTCTTCCGGCCTGTTTCCTATCTGACCCAGGCATTTTAACTTGGTCACTCACCTCACAAATTCCCCACAAAATGTGGTAGACAGCAACAGCAACTGATTTTCATCTTAGGAACAGAATGCCCTTCTTGAAATTACATTTGTAAGACTTAAGAGTCATAACAGCTTTTTATTCCAGAGCAGGGACAAATGTATTGAAAGGAGACAATCCACACACACCCCAAAGGAAAATATAAAAAGGAAGCAGGAAAGGGAAATTTGAGGCTTACGTACACAAATGCCTGGAAAAATTGGTAGATCATAAGAGAAGAAGATAGATTCAGTTCCTGAAATTGGCTTAAGAAAAACAAAGTAGCTGGTAAAAGAAACAACTCGATAGCTGCTTCTAAATGTAATGGGGTTTAAGAAATAGAAAATGCATGGTACTGAAGAATGGATCACAGATGTAGGACATAAGAAGGAAGTTCTCTCTCTAAGGCTTAGTCAGTACTTTGAAAAAAATGGCTGATCAACACTGAATTTTGGATTTTGTAGTAGAAACCTGAACCGTTTTTAATTACCAGCTTCAGTTACTGAAGAAATCAGAGAGAAAGGAAGGAGGAGGGGATTGCAGGATGAGTGGAAACAGCAACTCCAAACTGCCCTGAGCCTCCTCCTTCTGAATCAGCTTCCTAGCAAACACAGGCTGAAGTCTTACAGCAGACAAATCTAATGAAGGTCTACTTAAAGGAAAAATAGAAGTAGGAGAGAAGGTGAACCTGCTTATTTTTTAGATACAATGCTTTTGACAAAGCTAGATTTAACTGTTTCTTTACAAAACTTGCTATTTTGGCTATTTATTAAAACAGTACTTTTTATTACCATATTAATACACTTTGTAGCTACACTACCTGTTAAAAGGGCATGATATATTTTACAACCGGATTTATTGATGTTTATCATTTTAACCTTTGCCACTAAAAGATGAAAAACTACATGCAAAACTGCTAGCTACTGTCCCTTATGTGGAAATAAATTAGAAAAAAATATTTATTAGGTCAATGGTGATTTTCTGTCTATCAAAGGTAAGATTTCATCATGCTTCCCCAGTTCTTCTTTTTTTCATATGTACTCCACGTGTAACTACATCTTTAAAAAAGGATGCTTCAATGCCGCTGTAAACCTCCATTGATCTTTAATGAAACATCTTGTATGATTTCTAGGCTAGGCCTTGGGAACAATAAAATCAAGGATGTGGAAAACGGAAGTTTTGCCAATATACCACGTATACGCGAGATCCATCTTGAAAAAAATAAGCTCAAGAAAGTTCCTCCTGGACTACCCGATTTGAAATATCTGCAGGTCATATACTAGACTTAATAGATGCTTTGGGGTTTTAAGAGTTATTTGATTTTCACACTATCATGCTGACCGGGACATAATTAAAAGCATAATTAACTGTCACCTATTTCGACATGACACAAGCAATAGCAAAACTTGCAATCATTTATTTACTTAAAAACAATAAGCAAGTTCAAACAGCAGGATCACTTTCTACAAAAACGGAAAACAGTATCCTATACCAAGAAAATTTTTTTAAAAAAGCCTATCATACATACTTTTATATCTAAACAGGCTGGAATTGAAATTTTTCCTTCTACATGCTGAAAAGTCTAAATCCAAACAAAATATTTTATGAGAATGAATCGAAGTGCCTAAAACTTTAAAATTCTGCAATAAAATGCTTTCGAATCAGTTATATTCCCTGAAATCTGAAACAGCAATTAGAAACACATATGTTTTATAAGATGACGTACGTGTTGGGATGCAAAACAGGGTGATGCTTGAAGAAACATGAAGAAATGCAAGGATCACAGAGCACATGATAGGCTATTTGGTTAACGTTTTCACTTCTGAATTGCACTTCTTTCCACTTGTTATTTCACTTCCATTCAGAGAAGCATCTTTTGATATAAATGAGTGTGTGTGTGTGTGCATATTAAAAAAAAACAACTTAAAATGTAATGCAAGTTTAGTTATTCCTAACAAAAGAATCCTTTTGTCAATGTGAATTATTTTATTCACAGAATTCTAAACTGTAACATCACAAGAAATTTTTTGCTACATTAAGCTACATCACCATTAAACTCATCTGTTCATATAACCATCCCACACATTTCTCCTAATATCAACTCTGCTCCAGACTATTTACTATTACTATTATTAAACCACTGAAAATAGATACTAGATTATAAGAGAATATTCCACAAAAATATGGCCAAATCTTTCTAACAAAACACTAACAAAAAAACCCACAAAACTGACTGTATGGGAGGGGAGAGAATGTGATAGGAGAGAGATGTTTTTCTAAACATTTAACATAAATTTTTAATTCCTGACACTATTTGAAGTCTATATCAATTGTTGTCACAGAAATCCTCAATTATCTATATGCCAATTATTTGCATAGATATTTTTCCAATTTACATACTAAACATTACATTTTACCATTTCTTATTGCTGCAGGTAGTCTTCCTCCATTCTAATCACATTGCAAAACTGGGAGTGAATGATTTCTGTCCAACAGGAGGAAGAAAGAAGAAAGCATTATACAGCGGCATAAGCCTCTTCAACAATCCTGTGAAGTACTGGGAGGTTCAGCCTTCAACTTTTCGCTGCATTTTAGCTAGAAACAGCGTGCAACTTAGAAATTTCCTTAAGTAACACAGAAGTTGGGCATGTCAAAAACAGTCTGTCCAAATCAGTTTTACAATACTTGAAATCTGCTGAGAAATGGCAATTTTACACTATTTAACCAGTTTATAGAGTATTTACTATTTCAGAGATAATAAAGTATAAACAATGTATCAGTAGGATCCATTGTATTATTTGACAATGTTCAACCTACATTTGAATAATTTAAGCATAAACCTTTATATCTCTCGGAAAGACTCTTGCAAGTAGAACTGGAAACTGTATTTGATGTTTCCAATTATAGATGTTGAATTCTTAACGTAAATAGTAAAGCTTTGACATTTTTTTCTTAAAAATAAATTCTAAAAATCTAGTAAAAGTAACTTTTTCCATCATAAGGTCTTTTTCTCTGTTCAATGTCTTTTTAAAAAAAAGTATTGCAAACAATTTATCAGATTTCAAGTACAAGTTCTTATGCCATTTTTTGATAACCAATAAATAGGCAAAGATGCAACAAAAAGGTGCTGTATTTTGAGTTCTTGTGTCACTAAACTAGAATATATTTTTATAATCTAGTTAGTGAGATAAAGGTGGGTTTCATACAAAGAAGTAATACACAAAAACTTTAAAGTTTTTGATATTTATTATTGCAACTTTAACTAGGGAATGTCCTTCAATGTTTTGTTATCAACGTAATTTGATGCACTCTGAACACTACAGAGTAGCATTCAAGATTCAGCATATGCTTGAAGCTTAATAGAAGTGATAATTATACTCTTTTTAGGCCAGCACAAACATTTTCTTTTACTTATTTCAATTGTAATCACGCTCTTCATTTAAGTTTTGTTTCCTCTTTTATATTTTTGACACCACATGGGGTAGAAATTCCTCATTAATGTTAATATTTACCCTAAAATTGCTGAACCCAAGCAGCAGATAGCTGGAACTCAATTCTCCTGACTTATGTAGGTCAGCACATAGAAATCTCATTACTGACAGTACTGTATAAAATGGATATTTATATATCTACTTAGTGTATATTTTCATTGGGATTCAAAATAAATTAAATAAATTTAAAGAATACTTGTGCATGTTTTTTAATTAAAAAAAAATGAATTAAGACTAAGTTAGCTTTCTCCTATAACACATAATAGGTCAAAACATGTAGAGATGATATCCAAACATCTTTCAGACTCTCTTTAGATATTTTCCCTATTCTTTGGTTTTCCAAACCTACATACATTGCAGATTTAATGCTACTGTTCCTCATAAAACTACCAATTCAATGATTTATTTGAAGCAGCTACAGGAAGTGACAGAGTAGTAGTACAGGAAGATAATACTATATAGAAATCAAGCAATCCTCAACCTCTCAGCTTTCCATACCTCCCAAGGTACACTTATAGTGCACTAAGTAATAAGCATCAGGTCTAAATTCTGAATTTTTCATATGCTTGGTCTCTTTATACTCTTTATACATGTTTTATATTCTTTATATTTTACATATACTCTTTATATATATATATATATATATATTTTGTTAGCACTGCTATGCTGTTTAGAGATCATACACGTTCACGTCCCTGACTGACATAGTTATGACTATAAAAGCCTGTAAGTTCAGATCACCTAAGTACTTAAGCCTTCTACAAATTCCTCAGTCAGCACACACTTAACACCTGTGATGACCTGAAATCAGGGCACCGCTTGTCCTGAAGGAACAGTTTTTGCAAACAGCAATTCTGTAAAACACCCCAAGGCAAACGAAAACATAGCAAGAAAGCCTGCATAAGACCAAACCTATCTATTCCTAGCTTCTGAAGGTGTTTCTGAGGGGGGATTTTCTAGAACATAACATGGGAAAAGCAGTGATTGGTACTGAAAATAGCAGCTAGTGAGCGTGAGTTTATACTGGGAATTGGGTGAGTTTATACTGTGGACCTCTGTAGCCACAGCTGCGTCATCATGTGCGTGAAGAGTTATGATCGCTAAACAACAGATCTATGTCAGAAGACAAGCCTGATGTAGAATACAGTCACAAAGGAAATACTTCACTTCAGTAGTTTTTTTTCACTAGGGGATTTGTTAGCACACACATAGGAAACAGAACCATTGATATAATAGAGTACATAAACGGCTTTCATACTAGTTTTTGCTAAAGCTCCACATTCCCCGAGGAGACACAGTCTTAGCCTCTCCATCCTTTACACTTTACTCTAAATAACCCCAACAGAAACAAACCAGACAAGGCCACATAGGGATATAGCCAAATCTTTGAGCCACCTTTAAGAGAATTTTGTGGAGTAGGAAAGAATGTTGAAAAGAGCGAGGGCAGAAATAAGTAACTCAGAATAAAACAGATTAGTAACATAACAATAACACACCGAATAGACTAGCCATTTATCCTAGAGTAAATCATTACTTATCACACAGACTCTTTAAGCCCATACTCAAGTAGAAACACCCACTAGTTCATGATAACAGCCCAAATCCACATCCACACCCCCTGGGAAAAACTTACTTTCTCTTAAGGATAGGCTACCCTGCCTAACACTGCCATAAACAGCTCATGATCTCATATCAGAGAGACAAAGCATTATCAGTGATAACTAACAGTTGAAGAAGAGAAGTGAAGATTTGAAATTAATGGCCCTTCTTATCATAACTGAAGTCTTTAATGTTCCACAAGAGTTTCAGTGCTTATAATGTTTATTATCAAAAAGGTGAAGGAAAGATAGATAAACAATGAGACAGAAAATTGTAAATGACCAGAGGCTGCAAGAGTAAAAAAAAAAAAAAAAAAAAAAAAGATTTGAGGGACTTCTAGTAAAGATGAGTGGTTAAGTAGCGATGTAATAACAAAAAGAAGTTCAGCCCTGAGGAAGGTTAAGTATGAACAACACAAAGAAATTTCAAACTCTATCTACTTCGTAGAACCTAAGTTTTCAGCTCAGAAGAGCTGATATCATCTTGGATAAAGATGGACTTCAGTAAAATCTTCAGCTGAAAGTCCAACTACAGTCAAAGAGTAAATATAAGGCTAATGAAAAGAATAAAATGCACAACAGAAAATTCACTACATTTAAGTCACTAGTTTAAATGTATTTTTAAAATCTCATGTACCAATCTCCATACTAGTTGCATCAACTCAGCAATAACAACATAAATAGAAAAGCTGATTCAAATTCTGTAGCTTAACTAAAAGATGGTCATGGTGTAACGTAAAACATTGTTCAATGATAATTAAGTGATAGGGATTAATAGGAAACATAACAGGGAAGGAAGGCAAGCAATTCATTATCTAATTGAAGTTCATGCAGTGGACAACAGGAACACTGTATCTGCCAATACTAAGACATCTAAGCAGATGGACAGGTCTGAACATGTGTAGGAAGGCTCCTGCTTACTTTTGTTACAGCTATATCTCTCTACCCCATCAAAGCAGGCCAGTTCAAACCACTGATAATAAACCTACTCAGCAGCAAGCATGGAAGCAATTACCTACATTCTCAATAAACCTTAATGGTTGCACTTTGCATAAAATTCTCAAGGATGACACTGTCTCCCATCACATCCTCATAGGGAAACTCAGGAAGTGTGGGTTGGATGAGTGGACAGTGAGGTGGATGGAGAATCAGCTGAACGGCCGAGCTCAGAGGGTTGTGGTGAATGGCGCAGAGTCTAGTTGGAGGCCTGTAGCTAGCGGTGTCCCCCCAGGGATCAGTCCTGAGTCCAGTCTTGTTCAATGCATTCATCAATGACCTGGAGGAAGGGACAGAGTGCACCCTCAGCAAGTTTGCTGATGATACTAAACTGGGGGCAGGGGCTGACACACCAGAAGACTGTGCTGCCCTTCAGCAGCACCTGGACAGGCTGGAGAGTTGGGCAGAGAGGAACCTCCTGAAGCTCAGCAAAGGCAAGCGCAGGGTCCTGCACCTAGGCAGGAAGAACCCCAGGCACCAGGACAGGCTGGGGGTCGACCTGCTGGAAAGCAGCTCTGCCGAGAAGGACCTGGAAGT